CTATTGGGCATGATAAATTTAATTCAATAGTTATATACATTTCGATTGGCTTTGAAAATTATAAATTTATAAACTCAAGTTCCATTTGCTTTTGGGATACTATCTTACAAGGACTCCAAATTGCAGTAAGGCTCATTAAGGAAGGGAATGGCTCAGTTGCCTTTAGCCTACTGGCTATGGGTGGGTTAGGACCTCTGTTGATCTTTTCTGTGTCAAACACACAGATTGCAAGCCCAGTGCCACTTTGCGATCTTTGGCAGCAGTTAACTCTGCAGCTCACACACAACTGAGCCTGTATGATCATGAATATTCAGAGACAGGGAATTCCTGGGGGGCGCTCACCAACCTAAGACAGAGCGCCTGTGTGGCCTGGGCAGGTGTCTCCATAACAGGTAAGGTGACCTGCCAACGTCCCACGCGACCTAAGTCAGAAGCTCATATTTTAGTAAAAGGGGGACCTGCAGGGCCCTGGCCCCCGTTTTGGGTAACTGTTGCCTTGCTTGCTGACCTTGACCTTGATATCCTCCCTATACTAATTCCCTGCCGGGTTCCACCCTCCTGAATGCTTAAGGGAAGTTCCTTGTCTGTGTATCCTGCATAATGGGCATTTACAGCTTAGATGCAAGATTGTAAAACATCGGTAGCGAACTTCTGCCCTCCAGGGTTCTCCCATTGTGCTGTAAGCCTGTATTTAAGACCTCCTCCCTCCTTCAATAAACAGCATTTGTCACTAAAAAAAAAAAAGAAGAAGAAGAAGAAAAAGGAAAAAATTACTTCAGTGTTGGACTTGTACTACCATAATCCCAGCACCTGAGGCAGGAGTACATCCTGGGCTACTTGCAAGACCCTGTCTTAGAACTGGAGAGATGGCTCAGCAGTTAAAAGCACTTGTATGGGCTGGAGAGATGGCTCCGAGGTTAAGAGCACTGACTGCCTTGACCTTTCAAACAATGATCTCCCAGTTTTTGTTTGGCTTTGCTCTTTTGTTTGAATGTGGCAAAGGATTCTGGGTATTGAACTTAGAGCCTTGGACATGCTAGGCATTACTTTACCTCAATCTTTTTCTGCCCTTTATTTTGAGACAGGGTCTCACTGAGTTGTCAACATTTTGAGACAGGGTCTCACTGAGTTGTCAACGCTAAACTTGAATTTGGGATTCTTCTACCTCACCATCAGGCACACACACACACTACAGCCTCGGTTGGAAAATGTAATGTGATGTCCAGAAGGAACAGCCCCAAATCCTAAGGTCCACTCTTACATATAACTAGATACGCTGGGAGTACTAAAATTCTGTGATGAAACTTTATTTCCCATAACAAAGACACGAGAATTCTAAGTGTGTGGATGAATAATTTCTTCCTTCTGTCATTCATAAAAATGGAAGAGAGGGGAAAAGAATCCCAAAGCAGTAGGTGTCCATCTGCCAGGCTATATTAAACCAAGAAGAGACTTTTCATTTCAAATTAGTTTCTTAGTATCCTTGGCACTTTCTCTTTGTGAAATATTTACAGAAAATATACATTTAAAAAGGGGGGATTAAAACAGAAACAGAAATTCAAGCAAAATCCAGCAGCCTCTTCCTTGCTTTTGCACAAGATAGTCTGTCATGTCTTATCCTTTCTGTAAAAAACAAATAAAATAAAATAAAAATAAAAATAAAAGGAAGCCATGCCTCGTGATGCAGGCCTTTAATTCCACCTGCCAGGAAGGTCAAAGGTTCAAAGCCTGTGGGGTGACAAAGTAAGTTCAAGGCCTTGCCAACTTAGTGAAAAATCTATCTCCAAATAAAAGACAAAGGCTGCCAAGAAGGCTCCCTAGGTCAAAGTGCTTGCTGTGGAAGCCTAGCCCAAGGATCTGAGTTCAATTCCCGGAGCCCCTGGAGAACTGACTCCTGAAAGTCATCTCTCAACCTCCACACATGGACCTTGGCACATGCATGCCTGTGTGTGAGAGCGTACACGTTCACACACACACACACACACACACACACACACACACACACCAAAAAGACACAAATAATGAAATTTTAAAAACCAAATATTCCAATCGGTGGTGGCACACACCTTTAATCCCAGCACTCAGAGGCAGAGGCAGGTGGATCTCTGTGAGTTTGAGGCCAGCCTGGTCTACAGAGCAAGATCCAGGACAGCCAGGGCTACGCGGAGAAACTCTGTCTTGACAAACAGAACACAACAACAAAAACTTTAAAATACATTTAAAAAGCACTAGGATATATATATATATATATATATCTCAGTGGTACAACATTGGCCAAGCATGCACAAGGACCTGGGTTCAATTCCAAAAGCCACTAAAAAGGCATGGGAGTAGCACAGTTTTGTGTTCTCAGCCCTCAGGAAGAAACTGAACCAGGAATATTATGAGTTCAAGTCCACTCTAGACTATGTAAGCTAGTTCCAGAATTAAGACACTTAAGGCGCTGGAGGGATGGCTCACCTGTTATGATGCATATCACTCTGGCAGAACGCAGGAGTCTGGTCACCGGCACCCAGATCAGTAGGCTCACCTACCTACAACTACAGAGCCAAGAAGATATTGGATGCCTCTGGGCTCCCCAGTAACATGCACTCAAATTAAAAAAAAAAAAAAAACCCGTCATAGACACACAGGCGCGCGCGCGCGCGCGCGCGCACACACACACACACACACACACACAACTT